GCAGAAGCGGATTGGACAAAGCACAGGAGAGCAATGATGCTGCAGCCCTTTTACATTTCTAATAGAGTTGATTCTCGTTTCCCCCCCAATGTAGTCTTGCCTTGCACTCCCAGGGGAAGTACCTTATCAGCAGGATTTCCCATCCTCTGTCATTGTAAGCAGTTACTTCTTGTTTCACTGTTAATGACTGAAAAATAATCCCCTCCTCATTTGGTGTTGGTGACAGGCTATGAGGTCACCCCTTTCTCCAAGACCTGATGCATTAATTTCTCTTTACTTCTCCATAAACATCTCTGGAGCATGGAAATTCTCTGCCCTGCATGGGGAATACCACCGAATATACCAGCAAGCCCCCGAGAAAGGCTCTCCCAACTCCCTACAGGGCAAGACGACCATGAATAGAGTCCAGAACTTGTGTTATCAGAACTTTTCAGCAAAGGATCCTTCTCTGGATCTTCTCCCATTTGTGGCATCAAGGTTCATGCTGCATGCACCACCCCAGATGTCCTGTCCCCCCCAGACAATGTACAGAGAGGAATGGTTAAGTCACCAGCCCTACATGAAAATCTATTTATACAACCCTGTCAAAAGTTCACCTTTCTTTTGTATCAGCACCATTCTGCAAGCTTCTGGTCCATTCACCATCACCCATCAACTCTGTTCTCTTCTATCATAGCATTACAGGTAGAGGATTGGATAAGTGCCTCAGCTGGGTATTCCCAGCCCCTTGCTGTACCTGGATTTGGCTTGATTTCCCTTCTCAGCTTAACCTCACAATTGCATTGCCCTTGTCACCTGTGGTCTGACGACTAGTCACGCTAATGTTCACACACTGCAAATAATAAAATGACCTGTGGCAAAGGGTCCTGGTTTGATTTTAACGAGTCCTTTGCAAGGACTGCAATCTCTTCAAAGCAAGGCAGAGGGGGAAAAGCTATGTACAGCTCCTACAGAGCCTGGACTTTACCGTCCCAAGAACAGATAGCCAGAGATCCATAGGCAAATAGGGCACTTCAGATCCTTGAGGGCAAGGGCTATTTTCTGATCTGAAAACACCCAGATAGACACTTCATTGGCAGCTGTCTAGTCACTCTAGATTTACACCAGGGTAACTGAGATCAGAACCTGGCCAAAGGACATGCCCCACAGAGCTTACAGTAAAACAGACGCAAGACGCTGGCACAAGAGTTCCAACCAAGTGGCACCTATGCCAGATCACTTCTGCAGAGGAAAGTTTCCTGACAGGGGCATGGGTTAAGGAGGCACTCGAGAGATGGAAGAGAAGCAGACATCTGTTCTATGTGGACTGGGATGACATCAAAGGAGGCACTAAGCCAAGGGGGGGGGGGGAACCAAGGCAATAATGGGAAAAGGTGGCTAAGGAGCACTCCCGTGCCAGCGCCTAGACTGGTCTCCAGGGAGAGGGGGTGATTTGCCATAGCCCCTCCTTGGAAGTTGGTTAGATCATAATGAGATTGTAGGGCTCACACTGCTGGTTCCCATGCATTTATAAATGCTCTTCTACAATGACTGAGCCATTTCATGGTGTCTGGCTCTGAGAGCCCACACAACCCAACCCAAGCCTTGTTTTAAAGCTAAGTTGCAGACTTCCACCTGTTTGTTGATGTTTTGTTGCACCAGGCCATGATTCCTGGCACACACCCTGGGTGGATTTAACACAGAAGATTCATCGGCTCTCACTGTGAAATTCCACTTGAGTGCAGAGCATGTTTGGGATTTGGCTAGGAAGACACCTTCACTGGACCTTCCCCATGGCTCTGGATCTGACAGATGGCAAGGGGCTTCCATGTTGCTATTTGTTTCTTCCAACCTCACCTCCTTTGGGTGAAGGGGAAAATAACTGGACATGATAAAAAGAAAAAAGATAGTGAGTTTCATGTTTTAGGATGACAGCGTCAATTCTCTTCTCACCAAAGGGCATAACACATCTCCCCCCACCAGGAGGTGAATTTCACAGTGACTTTATCCTGAGTTGCACCAGGCATTATGGTACTGACGACTTAGAAAAAGCAGCAACACCAGGAAAAATAAATAAACCAACCAACCACCACACCAAAAAACAACCTAAAGAGACTCTACACACAAAACATTGGCAGTTGTCAACTTTCAGAGCAAGAAGACAGGGGTTTGGGGCCATTTGCTGGGGAATCAGAGAATAAAAAACACGGGAAGGAGATTTGTTCTCCCCATACCTTAAGAAAAGTTCACTCTGACACTTTAAAGGCATAGGAATGAGTTACAGGAGAGACCATCCTCCTTCATTATTCTGTAATACCTCTCAATGCAGAAAGGGGATGGGTGGGGTGGGGGCCCAGTGGATTAAATACTGGACATTTACATGTGGAGCTCTACTTGAGATCTGGCTTTGTAGAGCTAGTCTCAAAATTATTCCGTTAAGAGGCTTTAAAAGGGTCTACAGGGAAGCAAAAGTGTGTAAAGGAGAGAGACACTTCACACTGTGAAATCCTAGCACAGGCAGGGAATGGGGAGGTCAAACTGATCTCTGGTCAGCGAAGCCATAATGGGAATCCGTATCAGCCCAAGGCAATGCGCTCAACCCCCAGGATGTGAAACCCATGGGAAGTATGGTCACTGGTTAGAGCACATTGTATGGTCATCCCAGAAGCCCAATGTTGTTCGGCATCATTTCCTGGGACAGCATCAAACCAGCCTGCCACAAATATGCACGGGCCAACTGAGGACAAATCCTTGGGCTGAAATCCAGTGACCTTAACTGATTCTTCTCCAGGTATCTGAGATTCTCATGTAAGGCCCATGCCTAAGTTAAATGTTCCATGCATGATTCTTGGATCATACATATGTGATCCTTGCCAATCTGCTGTTACTGACTTGAAGAAGTAGGAGTGTGTTATTCCTGTGTGTGCTATTCACACTGATCCATTTGGGCCAAATTCACTCTTAGTGTAAGTGAATGCAACTCCACTGACTTCCCTGGAGTGGCAGCTGCATATATCATGGGTAGGTCTGGCTCACTGACTTCACTGGGTCTACTTGTGTGAGTAAGGCAAGTGGGATTTGCCTGCGAGCTCCCTCCAGCACAAGGGGTCACTGCCCTATGGGTGCACACCACCTGCATCAGTCAATAAGGTAACTGTATGGCCCTACAGCCCGAGTGGCACTCTTAAGACCATGGGTGCATGTGCTACTGAAATCAGCGGCACCACAATGGGCACTGTGCCTAGGCGTGCATAAGCACTACCAGCCCAGCCCTGCAGTCAGAATGGGGAATTCCAAGTGGGGGAAGCACCAATGTGTCCTGGAAATACACTTCGGCTCCTGGATCTGCGCTACCCCTTCCTCAGCAGCCACACAGATTGGAGAGGGGATAGAACAAGACACACACCAGTGGGCTAGCTGCCCGGCTGCTGACTGTCACATTTCTCAAGCACTGCAAGCAACAGCTAGCTCCATGGCAATGAATTTATCCTTCTTACAGTAGGAACCAGCCCATGTGCGATGTTAGCTGTGCTGCCATGTAACCCAACAGGAATACGCAAGGTACCAGAGGCGCATTCCCAACAGGTTGCCACAGAGAGGCAGATCAGCTAGACCACACAGCAAAGAGACAAGATGCGGATCTACACAGCAGCTTTCAAACAGCAAGGCTCATTAAAAAGTCCTAATTAAAAACAATGCCTGGGAAGTCGGGGGGGGGGGGGAAGCAAGGCCCTTCTGGACCCGAAAGGCAAACTTCTGCAGCTCTGCTAACAAACTGCCATTTGATCTGCAGGGATTGGAGAGGCTCAGGGGGCCGGGGAAGAGACACTACAAGGAAAAGCCAGGCTGCCAAACTGCTCATATACCTGAACCTGCCACTGCCCCAGTGTGCCAGGAGAGCTCAGATTTGTTCTGCCTGAAATTGTCACGGCAGACACAGTGTGTTTCTTTTGTGCAGAATGAAGCACCTTTGATTGCAAACATGGCTCTCCCCTTTAGCACTGTCAGTGTTAACAGGGTGTTGGGGGCACCCAGCGACAGGTCTGGCCCACAGCTCAGAAGAAAAAGCAACAAGTGGACAGCTGTAGAGCGTCATGCCTCCAACCAGGGGCTGACCACAACGAGCCTGTGTTTGGCTGGGGAGGGGGAGAAACAGCCACCCCTTACAAGCTACACTCTCGCCCCCCCCCCCCCCCAAAGTTTCACCCTTCATGTAATCAACAGATGAACTCGTGGGTGGTTTCTTTTAACCACCTCACGCCCTGTCCTGCATGAACGCCTTCATGTGACCCAGCTAACACTTGGCGTTGGCATTCCGAGAGGGCACAAGCAGCTCCAATTCTTTACGCAAAACCCTCCGTATTCCACAGGTAACTGCCAACAGCTTTGCCCCAGCAACACAGCTCTGAAATAACACCCCTCCCCGACGCCTGCTCAATATCAAAGTTGTGTGGGAAATTCCTCCAGACTGCCCGGCTCTCTCCAGCGTTGGAGGCATACGGCCAAAAGGGAGCGCCGAATCCCCCCTACACCTACCACGGGGACCCACACGCTCTCATCGGAGACACCTCTTTCCATCACAAAACACGCTTGCAATTGTAACCCCCCACCCCGTCAAGGCGCTCTGCCCCAACCGAAACAAGGCAAAACCACCAATCTAAGGTGAACGAACCTTGCAAAACAAGCAAACCCCTCACTGGGGTCTAATGGGGAAGTGGGGGGAAAGCGGAGTTCAGAGCCGTGTTTACACACAAACAGGAGCTAATTAACTTAGCTGGAGCAGAAAGAACTCATTTGCATGGTAAACATTTTTTAAGGCGAGCTGTCTTGAGAGAGAGCAGAACTCCGGAATGCACTTGCCAGCGAAGGACCTTTTCCCAAATACGATCGCACCCTCCTGGTCAAACCCAGGGGCTCACCTGGCTGATCTCCCCAACAGGAGAGCCAGCACCCCTGCCTTGCCACCATCCCCGACCTGCCCGCACACCCTACTTTGAAACTCAGGAACCGCCGTGTCCTACCTTGGCTGAGCAGCAAGAAGCAGAGGAGCAGCAGGTCTGCCTGGAAAGCTTTCATTCCTTAGACTTCGCCAGCGGGGAGCGAGCAGGAATCGGGGGGCTGCAGCTTCTCCGGCGCCTGCAATCCTTTCTCTCCCTCTCTTCAGTCTCAGCAGCCGGTTGCGATGGAGTTGTTCTGAGCCGCCTCTGCTTGTCTGGCTCCTCGCAGCTCCATCCTCAGTCTCAGCATCCCAGCCTCCTCTACAGGAGCTCCTCCCACAGCAGTCAGGGACTTGACTGACAGAGCAAATCTTTTCTACACGGGCTGGGGGGGGGAGTAACAATGAAAGAGGGAATACTTGTTAAAAATGAAAAAGGCGGGTTATTTTTTCTTCTCCCCCCTCCCAAGAATGGGCTGCTTTCATCCGACACAAGCCCAGGCGGCCGGGCTCCATGTCTTCTCATGGGAGAAGATTTCTGATTTTACAGGAGCAAACTTGATTAATAATTTTCGCTCCTGCTAAATGAACGCAGGGAACTCTGTGCGCTTGCAAAGCAGCTGGGGGAGGGATTTTGTGCAGGGAGAGAGCATCACAGGTAGAACTTAGGCTGCGAGAAACATGTGCAACTCTCCATGTGCCAATTGCAATGGAGCAGAGGAGATTTTTTTTTTCCTTTGCTCTAGAAAGGTTTCCCACATCACCTCAGGGTTACAGCCCATGGCTGCTACTTTCTGCGAAGAGGCAGAGCCGGTGGCAAACAGCAATGCAACTAAGTGACTTTCCTATTTTGCAGCCCCTCTAACTTTTTTGTGCATGGGGAGAGCTTGCACCAGTAGCATTTGGAAAGACTTGCAGGTGAACATCCCACTGTTTGCTTAGGCAAATGAGCTCATCTGCATTTTCTACACTCTATAGTCCTGTTGCTCCCACTAAAGTATTCCATCCTTTAGCTTCCAGCCTCTGGGCAGCTGTCATCCATGGGGAAATGGATGGCTCTGTCCAGGCAGGGGATTATACAGTACAACTCAAGAACAGTTATCCTCATGGTCCATGCAACCTGCCTGAAGGACTTTGCTTAGATTCAGGGCTAACTCTGGGCTCCAATGAATGGCTACAGCATAGCTGGTTTGGAAACAATGTCTCACTTGCACTCAGAGCTCCACCTAATTTTCACAGAAGCCAGCTGGTGTCTTTCCCCATAGGCTTCCTTGGGAGTTAAGTTGAGCTGTACAGTGCCTAACCATGCTAGCTTGCACCAGGTTGGAACGTCGTTCGAACCAGCATAGCAGGTGCAAAGAATACAAACCTTCCTGCTTCAGGGCATGACAGCCAGTAATTGTCAGTGGTTAGGAAAGAACTTCCCCTACAAATTGGCTATTTCAGAAGCGTCCACTTCAGGCTTTTTGCAGCTGGCCAGGCAGAGGCAGGACTCCAGTATAGACGGGCCTCTGACGTGCTACAGCAATTGCTGTGTGTCCTGGCACAGAAGTAGATTCTGTCTGTGTGGAATTTAGCTCACCAGAAGGTAATTAAATCCCATCCAGAAAGAATCCTATCCTAAACTCTTGCTTCGCACAATTAAACTGCCTGCGGTGTTCCACCCCAGAGGTGTGGCTGTCTCTCAGATGCCGCTGAGTGATTGTTGTGCATTGGAATCCTTCAGCACAAGAGGTGCTAAGGTAATGTAACGTTCTCTGCTGCAGACTCATTCCACATAGAGATTTCATTCGCTGGTAACAATTGCCCTGTTTCCCCTTGCTATATTTACCTGCAGGGTGCAAGATAGTCAATCCATACCCGAACTGTATTATGTAGTTCTAGGGAGCTGTGTGACAGTTCGTATAAAAGATGCTGCACAAAGTGACGCTAGTGAATCACCACCACTCTTTGCTAACAGAATACAGTCGCAAATCTAAAGCTATTGGCTACCTTACGTAACAGATGTGCACCATGACCCTCAGGTCAAAGAAAATAGAGCTTACAACCTCCTATCCTGAAGCACAGGCCTCTCATACTTGACAGATTCTCCACTACCTCAGCACTATAGGGCTTATGACATACAGTTAAGCTGCTCTTTAATTTTATCCAGTAGAGGGCATTGGTGTACCCAGTGGCCAAGTCAGTAGGGATGGCAGATGACACTTGCTTTGAGCAACCAGAAGCTTTTGCACAATTGCACCTGCCCAATGGCATCTCACCTCCTCTGCAATATTCTACATATTTATACACTTTGTGGGGCCAAGGATGTTGGGCTTTTCTGCAGAGCAAACATTGTTCCAAGGGGTTTATTCAGAATTTGCAGATTTTTTGGTGCCATTTTCCTTAGATTTCATTACACTGCAGGTGGTGGCCACTGCTTTGCTGTTCAAAGCAGAGAAACATGATTTGCCCCAGCTACATTTGTGATGGTCATAGCTGGGCAGATTTAACTTCCCCAGAGTTAGGGGCAAGGGCTCTGAGCAAAGTTTTCCATACAAACCCACCTCTAGGGGACACAGGAATCATACATGAGGCAGGAGGAGTTTTATTTTCCCCAGGTTGGTTCCCTCCACTCCAGGAGGTACTGCAAAGCAGAAATGCAGCAGCAGTTTCGCTTTCAGGGTGAAACGTTGCTCTCACGAAAGCTCATGCTCAAATAAATTGGTTAGTCTCTAAGGTGCCACAAGTCCTCCTTTTCTTTTTGCATCTCTGCATTGCAAATGGTGGTGCCGACGGAGGAGATGCCGGGCAGCTAGAGAGGGACAACACACACCTGTCTAATCCAGGGGCAGGGGCTTTCAGGGCTGACCACTCACAACTGCTAGAGAAGCTACACAGAGGTGACAGCACAGCTAAAATGCTTAGTCCCACAGCCTCACTTCCTCCCCACACACTCAGGACCCCCATCCCCACAGAGAAGCCAGGGGAAAGGCTCGGGGGAGGGGCTGTATTGTATAGATCACACTCTCCCTCTCCCAGAAAAAAAAATCCCTTCCATCCACAGAAGCAATTTGGGCCACCAGCCACCCACAGGGGTGAGCATCAAAGCCCCTTTGAGCCAGGCATCAAGAGCAGGTGAGCTAGGGGAAAGAACCATTCTAGCCTTCTTAAAAGGTAAAGAGCCTCTGGGCTACACAAAGCCCAATAAAGATACCTATGCTCAGCACCCACACCAAGCACTTGCTTTTAGCAAAGGGAAGACAAAGCAAACAAAGAAACAAGTCATACTGGAGTATCAGCCTTCATGCTACTAGACAAACAAATAATGCCTTGCCCCAGCACTCCCCTAGATAGACTAGGTTAGGGACAAAACAAAACACTCCTCTCCTTCCCCAGGGACACAGCAGCACTTCACTCCCAGCCTTGCAGGCACTCTGCTTCCTTTTCATGACTTCCCCCAATTAGATGACATGGCTCCAAACCCTAGCAGCCCAACAAGCCACAGCTGCCAGCCCTTCTGTTCAGCCAGGCAGTCTTTGATGGCTAGTTCCCTACTTTCTGCCCACTGAATGGGCTGAACCCCTTTCCTGGTTCACATGAGGACTGCACCCCATCACAGACCCCTGTAATTCATAATGAGCCTGAAAATATTATCTAACATTTCTATAGCATTTATTGTCTGGAAAGGGGGTGGCATCTTAATCACCTGTGCAATAGTAACTAAAAGGAAACACAAACCCTGCCCAGGGATCTCATCCCCTACTACTGACCATTGGCCACCTCTGGGGTGGAACGCAGCAGCTTTTAGGCAGCACACAGCTACGCTGTACAATGATTAAAGACAGGAAGTGAGGAAGAATTCTGTATCCATTTGAAACTGCAAGGGGGCACTTGGGGGCACTGAATGTAATTATAAAATGAGCATTATACAGTAATTATGGCTTTGCAATCTAATTACTTACAGCTGTGCCTTTGTGCTTAAAGGTGAACTTCAAAAGGAAATGGCAGAGTTCTCCTAGGGTTTATACTTATATCTGCAGAAAGTCACCAACAGCCAGGCAACAGGGTCTGTCTATGTGCAAATCTCTCTGGGGATGCACTGACATTGATTTAGCTGGCACCTCTCTGTTTACAAGCTAAGCTGACAGAAGCCAGTTTAAATTGATTTATGAACTATTGATTTATCCACACACAAAGTGGCACAAATTTAACTAAATCAGTTTAGAATCATACTTTTAGTTAAATTGGCATAGAGCTGTATTTATGTATAGGCCTGGCCTAAAACAGGCATCAGTATGTTATCATCTAACAAGGACAACCCACTGTTTTCTTCTTAAGCCCTGTGACTACCAGACCTGCTGAGACTGTGCCAATGCCATGCACATATACATATCCCTGATGGCATCACAGTAACCATGGTTCCTTGTGACACGCAGTCACCCTGTAGAAGGTTGCGATTTTCTTTTCACTTGAGTTCATGATTTGCAACATTCTCCACCTTCCTCCTCCCAAAAGCATGACTTTATTTTCTAGCAGAACTGTTACTTTTGTGTCTGTTGTCAGGTGCAGCAGGGGTCACAAAGCACTGGGCTAGGAATCAGGAGATGTGGGACCTAATTATCCATTGTATGCATACAACCCTGACTAGAGTTTGTGTGAGACCAGCTAATGGGATAATCAGGTCTTGGGGTTCTGTTCCTGTTTCTGCCATTGGCCTGCTGGGAGATCACAGGCACGTCACTTAACTTCCCTGCATCTCTGTCTCTTCTGTACAGTTCACCACCTGTAAAACAGGAATAAGTACACTGACTGGAACTGCCTGGAAAATAGCATTTTCTGTGACAAATTTCAAAATAAAATTTAAAAGGTTTCATTTTTCAATTTTTGTGTGTGGAAATTTTCTATTTTTGACAAACTGAAAACTTTTTTTTCCTTCATTTTCTCATCTGAAAACCAGGAAAACATCAAATTCCAGAAAAAGGCCATGCACTGGGTTGTTTTTTGTAAAATTCCACATCTTGAGACCATCAGTTCACCACCTCCACTGGTGTGAGAGGTGGGAGCCCTAGTGAAGACAGGACACAAACTTCTGTAGGCATTTTAACCACTGTGTCATCTAGCCCTGCAAAGTGCAAAGGGGATGTAGAGATTAATTAAACTTGCACAGGTTTGAAATGTCAAACAAAACCTGAGCAGCATTGAACCACATGGAGTAAAATGTCTGAATGACTTGGACACAATTCTTGCAAGTGGAAGTCAGGAAGTTCTAAATGGTGCTAGTTACTGGTAGAAGGCAGAAAGCCAAAAGATGAGTGACTTTAACCAGCTGAGAGGCGCCATAATCACCTGGAAATGAGCTGCCAGGAGTCGTATTGCTCTTACTAAATGGAACAAAACCACATAAACACAAGGAATCTGAGGAGCCCATTAGAGCCGTAGAGACAAATTTTGCTTTCAGTTATGATGGTGTGAAGCAGCACAACTTGGTGGAGTTCCCCCAGATTTAAATGGGCAAATGAGAGTGGAAT